AACAGATTTAACGCACAACGCAAAGAAATTAATTAAACGTGCTGCATTTTCACACAACGCAAGCTATTTGCAAAAACAGCTGCATTTTCTGACAACACTTTCAAATATCAAGGAACTACGGAAATGTTTTAAGAGGACCCTATAACGTGACAATCAAGCGGATGTAGAGTCTCTGGTTAGAACGCAGATGATCTAGACATCAGGCTTTGAGTGTGTACCATTTCAAAACAATTATACGTTGTACATAACTTGTACTGTACTGTTTGTAAGAGGATACATCAAGTTATACATCATAGTCCTAAATGTGCAATAAATATACTCGCTAAAAAATTTGGGTCAGGTTTTCTAAAGAAATTAATACTTTTATTCAACATGGACGCATTACATAAAATAAATTGTTGCATTTTAATATAAATTTAAAAATTTATTTAAAATGTATATATTTCCTAATATTACTGTTATAGGGTGACATAGTGACTCAGCGGTTAGCACTGTCGCCTCACAGCAAGAAGGTCGTTGGTTCGAGCTCCAGTTGGGTCAGTTGGCATTTCTGTGTTGAGTTTGCATGATCTCCCCATGTTCACATGGGTTTTCTCCTGGTTTTTAAGTATATATTATAATGTTTTGGAGTTTTTAATGAAATAAATGCAGCCATATGCAAGCATAAGTAAACATGGTACACTTTTCTTCTTCAAAAACTTTAAAAATGTAACAATTGCAAATTCTTTGACACAATGTAGAGCTGTGGAAATGTTAATGATAATATTAAGACCATTTGAAATTTCTCAGATCCTTTGAATTTACTGGATTTGAGTAAAATGTTGTAAAATTAAAGTCATTCCACCAAATATTGATTTCTTAAATCTGAATTTAACAATGAGTATTGTGTTGAATATTTTAAAAAGACACACATACAAAAATATGTCTAAAATTTGAAAGTAATGTAACCAGTAGTTTAAAAAATAAAAAAAATTACATTTTGCTTAAACAACTATAAATCTGTAAATTGATGTACAAATGCAAATAAATACAAACTGAGAAAAATCAACGGTCTCTTAATTTTTTTCCATAGATACAGACGTCTACAGTTCAAAAAGCAGATTGAGCTATAAAATAAACACAAAATTGCTTAAATAACATTTTCACACAAGGATTATAGTGTTGAGGTGACATCTAGAAGTCTCTCTCTTCTCGCCTGCACACTCCCTCTGACCTGAACCTACAGAGGTCACAAAACTCCCACTCAGAACACAGAGAGGAACTGATGACTGAAGATAAATGCACATGTGCAACTTCATGCGAGTAAAAGAAGAGAGAGGAGTGTGCTGACTCTAAAGAGACCATTTTGGTACATTAGCTGTAATACACAGCTGCATTCTGGGCAACAGAAATCTGCAGCGGAAAAGGGGCCCATGCTCACCACACAAAGCTGTGTGTGTGAGGGTGTATGCGAGCGCTTGCTGCAGTTCTCTGAAACTCCAAATAAGGTACTAAGCGGCAGCGTCAAGCCTAGCCGGCCCCGAACAGGAAACGTTCAGACAGGAAGTGATGTAAGCAGAGTGTAAGCACAGAAACCTTGAGTCATTATCGGAAAGAGACTCTTGGACCTGCAGGAGTCTACAGTAACTGCCGAAAAAAGTTCTGACTCATTTTACATACTGTTCCATTCGCTGATCCAATCTCTAAAAATACACGAGATGTCTCCAGTGACAGGAGAAAAACATCTGCTTACACGAAAATGATTTGCGAATGGTGAGAATCCATCAGGGAAAAGAATATCTAGTGTGCAGAAGTCTGACCCAAACTTTACACACTTCTGTTTCCACGGCCTAAATGCTTCTGAGATTACATTTGGTTATCTTCTAAATTTACACTAAAATGAGCTTCCCTTCACTCCAATGACAAATAAAGAGGAAACTGATGATAAGCTATTGGTGTCAAAGCAGAAATATTCAATGATTGACGCTTAACCACAACAGCAACACTGGCATGTCTAATACTGCCATGTTAAAATGCTAAAACAACACATTAACAATTAATACTCTCAATGCATTTACAAACTTAAAATGCCTCATGTATAATGCTCATAAATTAACTACTCATGTATATTTAATTTAGACATTTTTATTGTCATCTTTATTATTGTCATATTGTCAACCCCTGATTTGTTTAGGAATATTTAATGTTTTTAATTACTTATTTATGAAGGCTATTATGGCGTTATATGGCTTTTTGTTTGGCTTTAGGGAAGAACATATAATCTAGTTCTGTTTCAATTCATTAGTCTGTTTATAGACTACTGTAGCTGCAGTCTACTGTAAAACCCAAAAAGTTAAGGTAACCGATTGCAAAAAAAACATTTAAGTTGATAAACTGACCCTAATGAGTACTGTGAACTTAATCCATTAGAGTAAACGAAGCACTTTGAGCACAGTAAAACCCAATAAATGAAGAGAACTCAAACCAACTGAGTACTGTAAAACCTAAGTTAAGGCAACTCAAACCGTTTGAAGAAACAGATTGCTACAAACCATTTGAGTAAAAAAACTCATTTATATGAGTACTGTGAACTTACTTTATTTAAGTTGAAGTAATGAGGTATTTGATGATCTCATTACCTTCAACACGGAGTTTAAAACTCTTCTCAAATGAGTAGAATTAACTATCAGTAAATTGAGATAACTAAACTAATTTCATTTGATCAAGTTTACTGTTGCGTTTTACAGTGTGGATATTTGGGTATTTACAATGTATTTCTCAGAAATGTGCATGTTATTATAATGCATGCCTTATAAAGTTCCCTCTGCTTTCTGAGTGGTTCTTGTTATTAAGATGTATTTTTTTCCATTACATAAACAACATACAATGGAGATAAGGCTTTCTAAATCCAATTGATAATTACCTTATTATTTTATGGTGATGACAAGTAATTTTTGACTAACACTAGGGTATTTACTACTTCAGCTAAAAAAATGTAAGCTACATTTCAGAAAACAATGTGTCCCTCCATCCTACCGTTTGATCTGTGCTCCTAAATATAATCCTTAACTAAACAATGGTCTATTAATTGAGAGGTGTAACCAAAAAACAGGTACTTTAGCCAAAAAAGGGCAGTTTTCTTCTCTGTTTGGGTGAGCACCACGCCTTGGCATGGAAAATTGTCTAAGATTGCGGCATGGGCTCGCCTGGTCCTCCCTAGTGACAGACGAGCTCCAAAAACGCTTGAACAGCCGCTTCTGACACACCTCATATTTCTAGTCTTGAATCCCTTATCAAGCAGATCAAAATTGCTCCATTACATGGCAGAACACAGGCTTTAAAGGGAACAAAACATGCAGATTTGACTGAATTAATATTTTAGGTGAACTAGTCATTATATTCGGGCGATTTTAAATGTATGCTTTATTGGTAATTAATAATTATCTAAACTGTAATTGGTTTTAATAGTTTAATGGAAGCTTTCAATGAAGTGTGTCATCACAAATGACCACAGAGACCATGACTTAAAAAGGTTTTGCTCATTTAAACTAATTCATTATGAATCATTCACTGGTCTGAACGAGTGAATCGCTGGCTTAAATGGAAAAGCATATGATGGATTTTCCAGTTTATCTTCTCATTCATAAAATGGAGCAATGAAGATCGCTGTCGAAGAGCATAAAATTACTACTGAGCAGAAATAATTACTTACTGACTTAGAATCTTTTGCGTTTGGGGGGAGGGACAACAATCTATATGATAACACGGTATTATGTACAACCAACAGATTTAAATTGAACAGATTTACCTTTCTTCATAAATGCTTAATTTTGTACATGAAAAACATGTGAAATATGACCATGATTACAATGAATTATCTGCTTTCCATTTACTTAGCTTCATGTTAAACTGTGTAATGCGGTGACTTGCCTGCCAATGTTAGTGGATTTATTTGGTTAATCAGGTGAAATCCTTAAATACTATTTAAAAACCCTTTTAAAATACATTAATGGACAATTGAAAATAAAAGGATTAAATGATGTTTGCAAAATTGTTGCAAACAATTTAAATGTGTTGAATTTAAACAAACAAATTCAAATTAGTAATGTTTAACTCAACTTGTTTGCTTAAATATACAGCCCAAATAAATTTTTAAAACCACTTTACTCTTTAAAAAAAAAAAGTTAGTACATTCAAGGATCCAAAAATCTATTTTTCGTCAGTGTACTTCCTGAACTGCCAAAAAAGTGTGCAGAATATAATGCCCAATAACGTTGCATTCAATGAATGGTTTGAGATATGATTCAATGATTCACTCTTTGCAAAATGACGATGTTGTTGCCACCTACTGGCGTAATTTGTAGCTTGAAAAGTCCGTGAAGGAATTAATAGAGAATAGCTATAAATAAATAAAAATTATCTGACTGAATTCAAATGATTCGAGCAGCTGGGATAAAACAAATCCGCACCACCAGCGAACGCGTCCATTCACGGCGAGTTTGACGGAAAGCCAATCAGATTTGGAGGAGGAGAAGAAAGGGGGGTTACAGGTTGTCACCGAGTAACGGTTCAGCCCCTATACAACACAAAACGCCACTCCAGAGTTGTCTATAAAAATAAAATACTTCAAGAAAAACATGAGAAGTTCGTAGTTTTGGTAAATCCCTAATATAATGCAACATATAGCGTAACAATGTTACAGAAACGTCCTTTTAATCTGCAACGCAACAAGTTATTCTTCAGCGCGTTCGGCTCGGATGAACGACCGTCATTGTCCCAATAATTAATTCTTGCCATAAATAGTGCATTGCGTGTGGCCTACTGTTCACCCGCGGGAACTGGCTGGCAAAAATGCCAACAAGAAAGACCATCCTCGCCCCTTTCGAGCGCCTACGCGTCGCTTCGGTCTCCTGTTTCACCAAAAATGCGCAGCTTTTAAAGGCGCCGAGAAATCTCTTCAGATCTCTGCGCGCTACAGCACAAACACAAGCCAGCGGCTTCCATTTGCCACGAGTACTCACCGTTTTCGGCATTTTGTCGGTATCTGGTCTCTTCCTTCACGAATGTGTCACAAACTGAAGCTGATACAATGAAGTCAACAGAAAGCCAAACTTTTTCCCATCGGCTGATGTCCACGCGCAACAGTCAACAAGCGACGCCGCTCGTGTGTGGAAAAGCTTCTCCTCAAATCTCTTCCAGACCCCGGAGACAAAGTTTCACTTTTCGCCGCGTCTTTGTCGCTCAGAGAAGTACTGGTGGTCCCACAGTCGATTTCCTGCTAACGGAACTGAGTTTTGAAAACCACACCCAGCCCAGCCGATGGAGGCACACCAAAGCGCGCTTGACTAAACTCCGCCCGGATTCTCACAGGCCCCGTTATACGCGGCTCGGCCACTGATGATGATGCTGCTGCTTTGTGTGAACGCGCGCGCTCCGTGAACGTGAGGCGGGGGGGATCCCACACTATTCCAGCAGTGACGTAATTTTCCCCAGAAATTCCAAGATTTCCTGGCTTCCTCTGTTGAATGGCAGGGTTTGGTACGGGCTGTGCGTTTCACTTCAGGAACACAGACTTTATATGGACAACAATCAAAGCCTTATGCTTAGGCCCATAAGCTGATCACAAGGACAATCTGCTTTTAAAAAAGAGTGTTTACCTGTTTGACAACCAGGACACACAAACGTAATCTAGACCTTTTGGTTAAATACATTTTATTTATTTATTTATTTATTTATTTATGTATTTATTTATTTATTTATTTATTCGTTTATTTATATGGGTGATTTGAGTGCTGAATATTATGTTGTTGCTCAATGTAAACTGCTGATATGTTTTGCACTAAAACGTTCAATAAAATATGCTACAAAAATTAATGCTTTAAAATGAGATTTAATTACAATTAGAAATAATTTAAATAAAAAATATTTATTTAAAAAAACTAAAGACTACTTTGACCTTTTTATCTTCTACTTTTAGATAAAAAAAAAAAACAGTTTAAGACAGTGACCGTTACATGCAAAGAGAAACTGTAGATGTTGTCATATTCATAATTATATTGCATGTCTAGAAAGACATCTATGGCTAGATGTTGTAAATAGCAGGAGCAGATTTAGTGATTTGTGGGCACTAAGCAATTCCAGCCCCGGGACCCAGCAGTCCTACAGCATTATGCACCCTTCGTATCTGTATTTATTTATTTATTTAGCTGTCTTTTCTTATATCACTGAATCTTGCTTTTTACATTTTGATATTAACACAATCTGTACATTTTAAAAGATTTGTTAGCCAAAAATAAACCACAAAAATCTTAACTCAAAAATTAAAAAATAATGAATAAACTATTTGATCAAAGATTTGCACGGATGTGATAATTAAGGTAAAATTGTAATTGTTAGACCCTTATTATATAAAATATGATAGAAAATGACATTATATACAATTTATAGAAACTTCTACTTCTTTTATTGTAGGCTCCCAAATTTCATAAGGGCCTTAAATGGCTGCTTACCTCACGTATTGGTTAAATTCGTCCCTGTTGAATAGTTAATATTATATTATACAGACAGACCTACTAATAAGAGGATTATGCAATCTGCTGATGTTCTGTGCTATGTAGAAAAATAACATAATTATTTTGCAAGAATTTAGTAGTTTTAGTTGGCCAAGAATGCATTACTCTGTATTTAATAGATTACAGTTACTTTTGGATTATGGATTACAGAAATAGAAATTATTCACACAATTCCTCTAAGTAATTCATAATTTATTAACTTTCCCTAATTTCTTTATAATTTAATTAAATATTCCTTAAAGAATTATACATATTACTATATTGTTTAGCTTTTTTAAGTAGTCAAAATACAGAATTTCCATGTACATTCAATTTAAATTAATTTGTGATCAACCCCCTCTGAATTTAGTAACAAAATTAAAATTATATATATATATATATATATATATATATATATATATATATATATATATATATATATATATATATATATATATATATATATATGTATCTTATCTTCTATGTTACTAACATTTTCTATGTATTTTGCAATCAGTAACAAAATAATATGTCTAAATAATTTACTCCAATATATAATGCTACCATGTTATTTCTTTATTGTCGTAATTACCAAGTCCTAAAACTCAGCAGTATAATGCTACTTTTTATAAGTTATTTATTTATTACTAGTATTATTATTAATGCTAGATATTACTTCTAAATCCTCAGTTTTAATTTGATATCAAAACAGAACTGGGTTGATTATTATAAGAACTGGGAGTTTAATGCCCCTGAAACGTTTGCAAATGGCTGATTATGCTCATCAGCAGTGCACTAAAACTGCAGTAAATATTTGCTTAAAGATTTTGCTTATTTGCTAAATTTGAGTAAACTGCGATATATTAACATAAAGTACACCTATAGCAATACATTTTAAACAAATAAGTTTTATTACTCTCAGTTCTCCTTTGAACTCGCTTTTCTGATCTAATTACTATTACATACGGAACCATTGTTCATCGCTTACGCTAACCGGGGAACGTTTAACCTGCCGCACCTCTGGCGGGGCGTATGACTGTGTTGTGTCCAGTAAACGGGAGCTTTCCATAAATCGTATGTTTTAGTTTTTAACAACTTTAAATGTGCTGAATTCTTTCGCCGCCTCGCATCCACGCACTTTATCACTCGAAAAGGATACAGTCGACGATCTGAAGATGAAGAAAGAAACGGTGGGGAAGACGCGTCACGTCGTGCCCTGGATGAACAAAGCGGAGTACGAGCATGTGCTGGAGTATTTGTACTCGAAAGAGCCCGCGCTGCAGAAACACGCGCTGCACAGGATCTCCGCGTGGAAGGGCAGGTACAATGTGTGTGTGTGTGTTTGGTCCGAGCGAGTGAATGATCTCTGATGTCCCGCTACAATGTTGCAGATGTTGTGGCTGCTCTTTGGTTGGTCACGTGACGTCTGATGCTGCTTCATCTCTTGTGTTTTGCTGACGGACGGTCCTGCTCTGTGGATGGGCTAAAGTGAATTTCTCTGTAAATAATGCCCTAATGCAAAAAATTGTTAGAGTTTCAACTACGTATTGCTATGGCTTAATACAAACCCTGTTATCTAGCTAGCTGTTTGGTCTTCTTGGCCATTGTTTTTAAAAGAATTATTCTGAAAGGGATAGTTTACCCAACGCTGAAAATCATGTAATCATTTAGCAATACTCACACGTTTCATAAAGCTTTTGAACCTGGTAACAATTGACTACCATAGTAGGAAAACAAATACTAGGATGTCAATTAGGGCTGCACTATATTGGAAAAATCTAACATATCAATATATTATGTTACGATTATATATATTTTGATTATATATTGCAATATGATTACAATATAACTGGAGTTGTTAAATAACTATTTGAAAAGAATTCATCGTTTTAGATTGATTGAGATGATTCGGAGAGCGTGTATGCATAAAATATTAGAAACAACCTACAAGCATAGACACATTCAATAATGAAAAAGGTACAACTTAAATAAACAGCGTTTGATTGTTTTCCGAGGAGTCAAACTGTATTCAGGTATACAGTAGTTGAATAATCAAATGTAAAATAATACTACATAGTCTTTGATTGTTAAATAATTAAATTTGGTACATTTTCTTAGGCCTGGATGCTTTAAAAACCATCACAAGCCTCAAAAAACTATTTTATTATTATTATTATTATTATTATATTACATATTTTATTATATTATATAATTTTAATCTAGACTCAGTATTGAGTATGGTAAATGATCACATTGCGAAATCGTAGCTGTAATGATATACTGTGCAGCCCTTATGTCAATGGATAAGTTTCTAACATTCGTCAAAATATTTTATACATTCAACAGACAAAACCCATAAAGTTTTGGAACAACTTGAGGGTGAGGAAGTAGTGAGTATATTTTTGGACAAACTATCCCTTCTAGAATTTCTGATGTTTTATTTTTATGCCAGAATAGACACGTATATCAAAACAAACTTTAAAACAATAGATAAGGTGCATAATTTATTATAATAAGCAAGTTCAAGATTTAAACATGGGTGTTTTCATTCTAATTCTACTTACCGCTAAATAAGATATTTAGAGAGGGACATTAAAAAAAAGATAGAAAAGGCAGCTATATGTTTTCATCAGTTTAAGGGATTGTTCACCCAAAACACAAAAATTCTGTCATAATTTGCTTACCCTTTACTTGTTTCAAAACCTTTCAGTTTTTTATTTTTATTTTGTAAAACATCAAAGAAAATATTTCGAAGAAAGCTGGAAACTTGTAACCCCTGACTTCCGTAGTAAAATGATCAAATAATTATTTTATTTGCAAATGTTTTGCTAAAACTTTTCAAACTGAGATTGCATTGTAAACACATATTCCTGTATTCAGATCAGAACCACATATGGAAGTACCCCAAATCAAATAGAAAATATCAGATTTCATGTGGTTTGTGCTGTTCAAACTTGTGTGAATGAATAAAGGATTTGAGTCACATTTGGACAACATGTTCTAGAATACAAAAAATAAATAAATCATGTTTTGGAAAACATCTGTTGTCCTAATGTGGCCTCTGAATTTTTCTCTGTTTCCACAGGTTTGGACAAAGCACACCCGTGGCCGTGGAGAGCACAGCTGACCTTGTCCGGTGTCAGGTGCTGGACAGCACTGGCCAGCTGGAGGCCAATGATCTGGTGCTGCTCTATGGCATGGCACTGGTTCGGTATGCTCGTCAACCATGACATGCACTTCAGTCTTATAAATCAGCTCATGTATATTTACTGGAGTATAACTGTGTTTCAGATTTGTTAATCTCATCACAGAAAGACAACAGAAGAAAGTCGCCAAACCCTTAAGAAGGTTAGCCAGAAAAGTAAGTCAAACTTTACTGATAATCTTTCAGGATTTCAAGGTTCCCATTGGTCATAGTTTATTCCATTGTTTCACATTTTCCCTATGGTTGGGCTATTTTACAGTGCCATTTTATTGATTTCCAGCAATCACTAAAAGGCATAGTTCATTCAAAAATGAAAATGCTGTCTTCATTTACTCAATCGTGTGTTCCAAAACTGTTTGACATTCTTTGTTGGAACACAAAGGGAGATGTTTTGAAAAATGCTGAAATCCTGTAACCATTGACGTT